GGAAGGGGAGGAGGGGCGGGTGGAGAGGATGAAGGCTAGCGGCAGGTGGGCAAAGATGGAGGCTAGCGGCGGGAGGCGGGCAGAGGGAGATTGCGAAGGCTGTCGGCGGTGGACAGTTGACCCGTCATGCCCGTAGGCTTTACAGGACGGAGTTTGCTGCGTCGGCCCCAGCAGGCTCTACCAAATGGGGTCTGCATTGGCCCCAGTAGGCTGTACATGTTGGTACCGCCCTCCCAGATTGGCCTGTGATCTGGGCCATTTGCGACAGAAGGCCCAGGATGTAGCCTGATTGCTAAAAACTCAGATTGGCTTGCAATCTTGGTTATTCGACCGGCAGAAGGCCCAGATGGCAGGCTGATCACCAAAAATTCAGATCAATGGAGACCGTTCATGCGCTGAACGGCCCAGATCGCGAGCCTATCTGAATTATTATGATTGGCCTGTGGTCTGAGCCATCAGAGTGCAGGAACGGTAAGCGTCCCAGATTGGGCCCTTTTGTCATTTAACGGTTTGTAATATTGTATAAAGATTAAAACAAGGAAAAAAAGGGAATTCAGTAATCAATATCCTTTTTCTGGTTCTTCCCCAAAGACATGCCTGTTTTCTTTCCTGTGCTTGGGGGAATATGGTTAGCGATTTGTCTGTTCATGTGATTTTGTGTTCGTCGTTGAGTGCTGTGCATTTCTTTTTTACGTAACTGAATCTGTTCATTAAATTTTAATCCTATTCATGTAATTGAAACGGTATTCACCTGCTAGCAGTAGCAGATGCAGATCCCGGGGCTCGATCCCTAGACTTTACCTTACCTGTGTACCTTACCTGCGTCAACCCCGAGAGTTGAACCCGTGACCTGTGTATTCGTAACAGTTGGTAGACTGTCGTAGGGTCTGTAGGTTGTAGGGGTTCGATCTGTAGACCTGTCGGATAGAGGTCTTAGGGAGTTCTAGAAGTCGTAGCTGTAGGACTTCTGAAAGGTCAAGATCGTAGCTGCTACAGTCCTGAAAGGTCAAGGCCGTAGCTGCTACGGTATTCGAAAGGCGAGGACTACAGACTTCTGGAAGGTCCCAGTAGTGGCCATTCGAAGCTGGCTCACGTCTAGACAGAGGCAAGTGGGCAAGTGGAGTCCACCCTTGCTGAGTCAGCGGTACCAGTCCCAGTCAGTCCTAGTCCAGTCAAGCAAGTACCGTATGGGACTCTGTGTACCACGGGCATAGGAAAGGGGTAAACCAACGAGTTACAGAAGTATAAATCAAGAGGCAGCGCCCAGCCATTCATTCATTCCTGCGTAAGCCATGCGGAAGCACTGCTACAGCGACTTGTGCGAGGTGGTCTGCAGTATGCCCGAAGACGAAGTGGGCGAGAAGGAGAGTTTAGCCATAGCGGTAGAGGTAGTAGCGGCCATAGCCGCCATAGCTCGAAGAAGGGTGTAGTGTATGTCTGCGTGTGTGTACAGTGTGTCGCATGTGGGATATCCAGGGTGATCCTAAGTTGAGTGTGTGTGAACAGCAGAGCAGGGCGCAGTGATGAACAGAGAGTTGTACAGGCGCTGACGTGCCATAGCCATCTGAAGCGAGCTTGTATCTGAACTGTGTTCTGGGTTACCATATCTCTGAGCTTTGAGTGGGCGCTTGTCGCCGGTTTGCTGTGCAACCTGTTTACATGCATGTGAAGTGTGAAAGAAAGCGAGTCTGATTGCATAATGCTCTGTGGTGACCTTTTCATGCTCTGAATCCTTCTGTTTTTTCCACTAACTGAACTCATTGATTATGTATCGTGTGATTCTGTTGTCACCCTTTTCCGACGCTGCAGGACAGGTGCCACGTGACGTGTTGGTGGGGGAAGCTTGTGAAAGCAGTCTGGAGACAGTCTGACAAGTCGTCAGGCGATATAATGGCACTGAAAAACCGAAAGCTGAAAGTAGGGAAGAAAATCGGGCCTAGTTTCAAGGGCACACTTCCACGTGGATTGGCTTCGTCTCGACATGTTCAGACGTTCCTCACATTTGTTCAACTCGTGTTCTCTCTCTGTATATGGTTAGGAATGCACAGCCTGTTTCTGCTGACACAATTCGTGTCGCGATTTGTTGAGGGGTTCACCACTGCTCGCAATCGCTTGCTTGCTCGATTGTTTGCTTGAGCGGTTTTCTGATTAGCCTTCTTCGTTTTTTGACTAGTTTTCTCCTCTTGTCTTGATTGGTTCTCTTCGGCGTCTGTTCTGTAGATGAATGGCATATCGGTAGCATTGCACATAGTTAGTATTACATATATTATATTACATATATTACATATTAGACACCACATGCAAACACAGTGGCTGCTTGTTTCTGGAGGTTAAGTGGTGGGGTGGGGTTGGGTAGTAAAAGGATAAGAGGTGGGGGGTTAGAGACATTCAATAGCCTGCCTCACGAAGAAGGAACGTCAGAGAGGTAGATAGATGTTTACATGCTATCAACGATACTAATATAGATCTAAATTATATATCTATTTGTATGCTTAGATCTCTGTGTGGCAAGGTATAGCTAGGTCAATAACTATACAGATACATAAGGTATAGCTAGGTCAATAAGTGACAATAACTATACAGATACATATATGGATAGGTATAGGATATCTCTGTGTGGCAAGGTATAGCTAGGTCAATTCTATCTATATGATATCTCTTGATAGAATTAGAGGTGTTCACATCAGGTAGGCAGGCTTGCACACTTGCACGTTCACAAACGTACACATTTAAGTACATACACACACACTCACACATCGACACACTTCAGACACACACACACACACACACACCCACCCTCCCTCACACACTTCAGACACACGCACCTGTACACAGACACACACACACAGACACACACACACACACACACACACACACACACACACACACACACACACACACACACACACACACACACACACACACA